AGGGAAGAATCTGCAATATTTTAAAACTTTTTTATTTGTTTATCTTCAGAGAAACTGATACTTTCCCGAAAATCACAATTTCTCAAAGCAAGACGGTATCAGGCTGTTTAAAGAAAGAAAAAACAATCTTCCCGTTAATTGCGAATGTAAAACATCTATATGACGCAAAACAATTGTTATCCTGCAACTGGCCGTAGCGGGGAATATGCTAAATTTTAATGTGTTCAAGATCTACGTTCTTTGAAAGTTTTTTTTTCAACTATATTTCTTTCAAAATAGAGCTGCTATCATGCATACAGGAAAAAATATACATATTATGAAAGGTCCAAATTTTTAAAGGGCTATTGTCATTCAAAATGATTTGTGCAGAATATTGACTTATGAGTAATTGAATATCTGCACTCCTATCGTTTATATCAAACATAACGAAGACGCTATCATGCATATAAACAAAGCCTGTTTTGGTTTCATTGTCACATTCTAAAAGATTTACCACGTCTTGTTATAGTATTAAATTGAACAAAGTTCCAATTGTAATATTTTATATTTATGTGTCTCATTTTAGGTGGAACAGTTGATATAACAATTCATGAAGTCTGTGAGAATGGTAAAATAAAAGAAGTACATGCTGCCTGTGGGGGAGATTGGGGTGGAACATCTGTTGACAAGGAATTTGAAGCTGTAATTCTTGAATTGGTAGGTACGCAGCTCTTTCAACGTTTCAAGAATGAAAACATGGAAGATAACCTCGAATTTTGGAGAAACTTTGAAGTGAAAAAAAGAGTAATTGCACCATCAAGCAATCGAGCAACCACAATTCCCATCCCTTTATCTTTTATTGAAACATTCAAAGATACAACAAATAAAAACTTGACGGAAGCTATTTCCAAATCACAATATGCTAAAGATATCGAGATAAAGTTCGGCAACAAAATGGCAATTTCAGCAAACATGATGAAGTCATTTTTCGACAATTCTATAAACATTATCATACCGTTTGTTAGAACAATACTTAAAAGTAAACCTGTCGCAGCAATTCTCATGGTTGGTGGATACTCAGAGTCCGTTTTGCTGCAAGAAGCCGTGAAAACCAATTTTCCGAAAATTGAGATTGTTGTCCCGGAAGAAACCTCATACACCGTTATGAGAGGAGCGGTTATATTTGGCTTCATACCGACAATTATATCAAAACGTGTCTTGAAGTATACATATGGCGTGCGAGTGACAAATAATTTTTTAAAGGGAAAACACCCAGAGAGCAAACGCATACATTCAGATGCTGGTGACCAATGTAGTGATGTATTTGACAAGCATGTTGAGAAAGACCAGGTAGTCAATGTTGGTGAGACACAGGTTTGGAGTGTTTATTCTCCTTTGTACAAGACACAAAAATATGCAACCATATCAGTTTATGCTTCTGAGAAGTCAAACCCAGAATATACGGACCAAGACTGTGATTTCGTTGGAATGATGACTGTAGATTTGAGCGACGCCGGTGAACTTGACCGGAAAATTGAAGTAGCACTTTCATTTAGCTGTACAGAAATCGTTATTGCAGCTAAAGAAATAAAAACGGGCAAAGAAACACACGCAACCATTGATTTTCTCGGATAGACAGTAACAGTTTGTTGTTAGACAACCTTTACAATATTTGCTGTTATACATGTATAACTTTTTAACGAACAAATTAAAAATCGAGTGCTTTAATATGTTTATACGACTATTTAATCGATTGCTTTTTCCAGTTATGCATGAGATAAAACAACAATGATAACTGCTGAAATTAATGGAGTCAGTATTCACTAAGGCCCAGAAATTACAACACTAAACAGAAGGATTACAAGCTGCGACACAACATTTAACACCTGGTTTTTCGAAACCTGACATTTGCAGCACATGCAACTATAAAACTTAAAATAAAAAAATATATCATTACATCTCCATTAGGTTTTTAAAGTTTTAAGAAAATGAATGTTTGGAAAAGGTCCTTAAAAATATGAGAAAGAATTTGGTTAAAATTAGAAGACTGTAATGTCACAATGATTTTGAATCATTTAATACACTTGTTACTATATACAGGAACAAAATTAAACTGATTATGAGTGTCAGTGTGACCGGTAATGAGTTTGCGAACTGGGACTGAATAGAAAACTCATAATCATTTCCGGCCCGCTGAGCACGAGCACTTGCAAATAACTAGAACAATGACGTCACATTTTACGTCATCAAACAATTATTTATTTTGTGGGCCGATTATTTCTTCCGGTCCTACTCTACTGTAAAAATTAATCTCTTCTTTATACACGTTAGACGACGGGTCTGAAGGTGATACTCAGACCTGAAATGAATAATACTCTAAGGCTGATAATAATAACCTTCCGGCCCTAATCGAACGTGTATTTACCTCTAAATAAAGAAAATGTATCTTATATTAATATTCTTAACTATTGTTACGGAAGAATATGATCAGCTGTACCGTAAATATCTATTGTTAGAGCTGTTTATGATTCTATCCGGTGATTTATTTATAGAAAATACTAATTTTACCAATCGTTATAAGCTAATTGTAATGATCAGCTTCAGACCGATTTTTTTGTAACAGATAATTTTTTTTCCAGTTTAATGAGTAATTTTCGGTTGGAGAAGTACTGAAATGTAACTTAAGGTACTGTTTTAAGACAATTAACTATATTAGGGAAACTTTTTTGTTTATCTTTAATTGTTTGTAATTCTTCAGTTGATTATCACATCTCTAAACGATGTCATACACTTTTTTTTTACAAAACGTCATTTATTTCACTAGATACGTTTGATTTTTACACGATACTAAATGAATTTTCTTTTTCAGCATCTTATTGTTTTCTCTTTTATATTTGAACGATTCTGCTTAATCAGAATGTATATAACGATATTATTACATAGAATCATTTTATTGGTACGTCTGCTTTATATTGATTTACCAATGTTATGCTTATTGATAAGCTTTCTTTGTTCTTCGCCTTTGCACTGGCCTTCCGTGCTGACATTTGGCAATGAGACACAACAGGTAATATAAGATTTTTATGCGACTCATTCTGTCAAAGTATTATACGGCTAATAAGGTTTTACATTGCTAAAAAGAATAATAGGAATGGCCACCTAAAGGCATATTGTTAGAATATTGATCTATCCGTTCATGTGTGATATCCAGGTCATAAGCTTAGGTCAAACTAAGAGATCGTTGAAAAAAGCATTGAATATAACCAGGCATAAAATATTACCTTTATGAGACCAAGTGTTACGCCAAGCAATAAGCCCTTGAAGCAAAGGTCATAGTCACAGGCAGAGGTCAAAGATCAGATAAAACAAATTTATGTATGTATTCATTATTTAGTCATCATGTACTGAGACTACATATTCACCACAATATGATTGGATTCCGTTGGAAAAGAAATGAAATGTAGAATCAAACAAATTTTAGGTAGCCTTAACACAATTATTTATACTAGGGTCGGGGTATTTTTAATCGGTTCGTTTTGTGCTTTTGTAATATTCATTCAAAATAATTTTGTCCAAAATAATTTTGTCGATTATCCCATCACTAAACGATGTCGTGGAAAATTATTGATAACAAGTCATTTATTTTACTGAAAATGTTTACAAGATACTTGAACTTTGTTTTTGATCATCTTATTGTTTACTCTTTAGTGTTTGTTAAAAGATAACTGAACGACTCTGCATAATCAGAATGTATTTAAGGATATTATTATAAAGAATCATTTTATAGATATGATATGTCTGCTTGATTTTGATTTACCAATGTTATGCTTATTGAAAAGCTTCCTTTTTTCTTCGCCTTGCATTGGCCTTCCGTGCTGACATTTGGCAATGTGACACAACAGGTAATAGAATATTTTTATGCGACTCGTTACGTCAGAGTATTATACGGCTAATAAAGGTTTTACATTGCTAAAAAGAATAATAGGAATGACCACCTAAAAGCATATTGTTAGAATATTGATCTATCTGTTCATGTGTGATATCCAGGTTATATGTTAAGGTCAAACTAAGACATTGTAGAAAAAAGCATTTAATATAACCAAACATAAAATATTACCTTTATGAGACCAAGTGTTACGCCAAACAATAAGCCCTTGAAGCAAAGGTCATAGTCACAGGCAGAGGTCAAAGGTCAGATAAAACAAATTTATGTATGTATTAATTATTTATTCATCATGTACTGAGACTACATATTCACCACAATATAATTGGATTCCGTTGGAAAAGAAATGAAATATGGAATAAGATATTTAAGGTAGTTTTTTTTAACACAATTACATGTATCTATACTAGGGTCTGGGTGTTTTTATCGGTTCAGTCTATGCGTTTGTAATATTCATTCAAAACAATTTTGTCCAAGATCACTTTGTCGATTATCCCATCTCTAAACAATGTCGTGGGAAATTATTGATTACAAGTCATATATTTCACTGGATACCTCTGATTTTTACACGATACTTGAATTTTGTTTTTGATCATCTTATTTTTTACTCTTTTATGTTTGTTAAAAGATAACTGAACGGGTCTGCATAATCAGAATGTATTTAAGGATATTATTATATAGAATCATTTTGTAGATAAGTCTGCTTTATATTGATTTACCAATGTTATGCTTATTGAAAAGCTTCCTTTGTTCTTCGCCTTTGCACTGGCCTTCCGTGCTGACATTTGGCAATGAGGCACAACAAGTAATAGTTGATTTTTATGCGACTCATTCTGTCAGAGTATTATAACGCTAATAAAGGTTTTACATTGCTAAAAATAATATAGGAATGACCACCTAAAAGCATCTTGTTAGAATATTGATCTATCCGTTCATGTGTGATATCCAGATCATAGGTTAAGGTCAAACTATGAGATCGTAGAAAGAAAGCATTTAATAAAATCAGGCATAAAAGATTACCTTTATGAGACTTGTTTCGCCCTGAAGCACAGGCAGAGGTCAAAGGTCAGATAAAACAAATTTATGTATGTATTCATTATTTAGTCATCATATACTGAGAATACTTATTCACAACAATAGGATTTTGTTTGAGTGACAGGCAAATAGCAAAGTTGTAACAATTGCACATTTGTTTAAGATAATTCAATGGTTATAGTTGGTCATGAGTTAACGACAGTTGCCTGTTGTTTAGTATTAAACATATTTTGAAGAATTTTGATATAATTGTTATAATTATTTTTATCAGCATCATAAGTTTTACTTATTGAATATGTATTTCGGAAAAAAAGTATTGTAGTAAAGCATTAATTGCGCAATTGAATTTACAATTTGCATTTGCTTCAAGCAATAGTTAGTTTATTATCGTAGCCAAATTGAATGGTTGATCTGCATATGTTAATGTCTAGCGGCAAATAGTTCATTCTGTATGTATTAAGACTTTGTTAAAGGAATCGTGTTCTTTTAATGGAGTTTGTTGTGATATAACAAGTTTAGTGTTTAGCATATTAATGTTCTTTTTAATAATTGAAAAATGAACCTCAAACTTGTAAAAACAAAGATTATCCTTAGATTTTTCTGACATTTGATATATCAAATAAAAAACTCGACGTCGCATTAATTTAGATGTCAATTTGAAAATCAAATTTAAAAAATTCTTTTACAGATATGGGGAACATCATTATGAGATTTTAATCATTTAGACTCATGATAATTAAACTAATATGTATTTATGAGCCAAAAATATATATGAGAACCAGAAATAAAATGTTTTGCTATCTTCTATCGTTTATGTTTTATCAGCTCACACTGCCTCCATAAGAAACTAGAATAATTAAGTAAAATTGAGAATGCCATTAATAATGTCTTTCTTCTCCTGCATTACTTGTTCGTTTTATATGTATTCATAATGATTGTTTTGATATCAGGAATAAATAACGGTTAAAGCTAGAAAAATGAATATCTCAAGATTTTAAAGTTATCAGGCTACTTCAATTAGACAGAGTCCGGGTTTCAGAGTATACTCGTATATATATACTTGACCAAAAGCCGATTTTCAGAGGTTTTATATATTTATTGATTATTATCATTATAAAAGGTAATATACTTTTAAAATATTAAAACATACCAAAGGAACAATCCTTATTAAATAGTATGACATATGATTTTGATACATGGTAAGAACTGTTCACATATTAGGGGGGAAATGTGTAAGTGACCGAATATCTGAATTAGCTGAGCTGAGGTACAATATTTCTAATGGTCCTGGGTTTGAGTTCCATCAGGCTGCACATTTTTCAGTACCTTGAACATAGAGTTCGCTTTTAGGCGACCATGATGGTATATATAGAATTGTAAGACTTTTATATTTTTGAACATTCACTGAAATGAGAATTATATTTTGAATATATTAAATGTGATGCAAACAATCAAAATCACAACTGAATAGGACATGTGTCTGCTATTGATAAATATATTGAAGGTTGTTCATGTATTATTTGATGATTGCCCTTGGAACTATTGAAGTTTAGCCGTGAGAATTGTAAGACGACCAAAAATGCTAATCTTAAAAAACTTTCAAGTATCATTTTTTTTTCTATTTTGATATGTGCTTGTCATCTATTGCCAATTCCAC